ATTTTTTTATGTATCTTGAAAGTCTACCTACAACAATTTTGTGTATGCAATCTTGTACTAGGATATTGACATGACAAGATTACATTGCTGATCAAAGCACGGAAAGAATACTGTATCTAAAAACTGAATAAAACAAGATATAAGCATCTGTATCATGTTTTTTTTTTTATTATTATTATTATTATTATTGTTATTATTTTTCCATAATGTCTGTCCACATGGAATTTGTAAGCACTCTTGTGCATTCTTATACCACCAAAAGGGTGGGTAAACTGGAATCAGGTTGTCTATCAGTCCATCCATCTGTTTGTCTGTCTGTAGACACATCTTGTCTGGACAACTCCAATGAAACTTTTCAGTAATATTCAGGACAATGTGTAGATGTGCATGCACCATTTTCCCTCGAAATATTGATTGCCATGGCAACTGGTCAATATAGACGGGTTTTGCTTGTCAGTCAACTTCTGAACTTGTGGACCAATTTCAACAAAACTTTGCAGGAATGTTAGGGAACGTGCACATGCCGCTGTGTTTCAGAGGATGTTTCTGTGCAAAAGGTCACCATGGGGAGATAGCTAAGGCTGTGGGAGAAGTCGATTTCTTTAGAAATTCAGGGTCAGATGTCAAAGATCAAGGTCAGTCAAAAAACGGATAGATGCATGGGGGTGTTCTTTGCATTACCCTCATTTTTCTATCAAATTTCACAGCCTAAAAGATATTCACATCTTGCAAATTTCAAGGTCACTGTAAGGATGTAAAAAATGATAATACAAGAGGAATAAAATATCTTGCGACAAGTTTTAGAGAACAAAGAATATATAAACATGTCAACAGAATTGTAGAACCAGCAAAACAAGTGTAAAATTGAAACAAAGACAATATCTTCTCAAGATTCCCTGAAAAAGTACAAGGAGAATAAGACCAGGTGTTCCGGAAGAATAGGCATCTTCTATTTTTAGTTATGGTGACATATCATATCTGTTTTAGAAAATTGGCACTCTTATGCAGTCATTTACAAACAATCTGGAAAATGAAGCTGCCCAATATTTGTATGTAGCATGTTACTTGCATGATGGTCTAACTAATGGCCTTAAACCAATAAGATACGCAGTCTTTAAAGTGATAATATGGTGTCCAAGATCAACATTTCCTACAATGTATCCAAAGAAATGGACAACTTCCCTATCATTGCATCTTTGAGCCTACTTGGGACATGTATTGCATAAGTAATACTACTATGCTTGTTATTTCTGATATCTGTTAGTCATTTTTTATGGGCTGCAATGATTTACTGCTTGCATATAGTTGGTTTCAGTATATAGCAAGCTAATAACAAAGCACTTATTTTTTCAATGGTCTTAGCATACCAGTACTTTCAGTACTTTGATTGTTCTTGACCGGCATTTCCACTACAGAAATATCATTTTCAGCAGTGATGATAGTGAAAATTTAGCCATGTTATGTTTTCCAAGTTATTCAAACAGTACTAATTTCCTAATAGATTTTTTGGTTTCTGTATAATATATACTGGACTGATTGCATTTTAGCATTCCGATAAGGTTCTGTGAAATGGTTTTGTTTTGAATAAATATTCAAGCAACACTGCATTTTAACTCCTGCTATATTCATGACATCTCGAGTTGTTACAGTAACGCTGCTTGCTTTTCTTTGTGGTGTCTCGAGACATCACAAAACATGAATGTGAAACTTTTCAGTTAGGCATGGTTGTATGTAGAAATTGGTGAACTCCAATTCTGCTTTCGATTTTTGAGGGAGGCAAGTATGACAAGAAATGCAAAATTCAAATGATAAAAACTATTAGATACATATAACTGAGTTTATTGTCAAGATAAAACAGGAATATGCAGAGATGCTGAAAACTTTTAGATCCTGTCAGACAATTGGACTGACGGATTCAGACATTCTGTCAGTCTGGATGAAAATCTGTCAGTCTGAACAAAAATATATGAATATTGTGATAATTTTTTAAAAATTGCTGCGATAATATAAGATAAACTCCATTTTGATATTTTCATTACATTGAATCATTTTCTGTTTCAACTTCATAAACAAATTCTATAATCATTTGTCATTCTCTCTTTTGTCCTGCAGTTCACAGTCATTCTCACTTTCACTCTCACATTCATTCTGTGACTCCCTATCCCTCTCTATTTCATTCTCTTGAACTATTTCACTCTCCTTTTGATAAACATTTAAATCTTCTTGTACTATCTGCGCCATCTGTTTCCTCTTGTCTACCACTTTTCTTCCTCTTTTAGTACACGTGCCTTCTCTGTCCCTTAGGTGAAATCTGAAGAAAAAATAATTTGATATATCATGTTGTGATTATACACATGGTAGCCAGTCATAATTTACAAGCAGTGAGCACTGATACAAAACATGTAAATAGATACATCTTGATCATGAAGAAATTGAATACAAATTACATACCATCCGTCAATTGCTGATTTTCAGGCCTCGACGTTAACTGTTTTTTAGTACTTGCCAAGCTGGGCAAGTGCTATTAAATTTCAACATGCCCGTTGCCGAAAGTAACTTGACCATACAAATGATATTGAATGATTAAGTTTTTTCTCTAGTGTAAACATTGCACTATATATTTGAATAAAAAAAGAGACTATCTTATGTTCCTGTCGATTGCCTTTTACTTACAGTCTCTTAAAAGGTAATGAAGTAACAAGTAACAACTAGGCCTTCGTGATCTTTCAAATTTATGTAACGACATACTGTATACTTGCTTCATAGTCAACAGCGAAATACAATATTTCTACTGGACTTTGATCACGTATCTGGCTGAATGTTTTATGCTTGCCCGATCAAATTACTGGTAAAATCATGTTGCTTGACACCAATTTTTACTTGCCCCGGGCAATCGGGCAACCGTTAACGTCGAGCCCTGACTTTGGATCAAACTCTGGTACTGACGGACTCTCCAGTCGTACTAACGTGGCATTGTTGAGGTGGCGCTCAGTTAGTTTTTGTCTCCTGTCAGTTTTAATTAACTTCATTTGATTGAAACTAGATTCATTTGACACACTTGTAGGGGGGAGGCTATGAAGAAGGTCCATCACATGCAGAATGTTATCCACACCTCTATTCCGAAATGTTCTGTGTATACCCCCCCAGTCAGAATCCTTGGAGCCAAATCTTAAATAAAATGTAAAATCCATGTTTAACACTATGTAATTCATAGTCTCTAATCAAGGCATTCAAGTGTAAAGCAGCAAATTTATTATCTATATGGTATACCTTACCTCTTGTACAAAGTCTTTTGAGTAGTGCCCATTCTCTTTGTATGTTTGTCACATCCACTCCAGCCTTTTGGAGTGTTTCTTTAAAATGGCTGACAATCACATTTACTTGCTCTACACCATAATCTGTGTAATAAAGTGACATGTTTATGATGATTTCAGAGTAACTTACATTTGGTCTATTCAACAATTTAAAATAATTGAATTATAAAAGAGAATTGAAAATTCATCTTCAGTTCAGACAGTTTTGTAGCAAACATTACTTTATTCTAATTTAGTATATACATGATCAAATGAACTTTTGTCCATCTTTAAGTTTTACATTAAGTCATAATAAAAGATATTTGTTAATTGAATACATTGAACATTTTGTTTCAAATCAAGTTTTTAAGTTAATATGAAATTTTATAACTACCTGAGCATCAATGATCATGTTATTCATCCTGAAATATTTACGAGTAACATATGCAATTCAACAAAAACATCAAAGAGAGCAAGTAAAAAACAGGAACAATCTAGAACTGAATAACAACATGCAAAATTGAATCAACTTCAGAATTTGTGAACAATTTTAAAGATATGAACATGATAATTAATCGTATCATTTATGTAACCTGAATAATCTTTGGATGGCCAGTTGTTTAGGCAACCAATGGAAGTGGCATCAAACAATTCTCCTTCTAAATCCCTATATCTGTAATGTTTGGTAAAAAGTAGTGCCTGTTAACACAATTATTCCATATAAATGGCGTTGATAAATGATAAAATTTTGATCTTAATTGACCTAAATAATACAGCATAATGTAAAAAAAAAATAGTAATAAAGAGTGTAGTTTTTCTTGCCTTTAGCACTAGTTTGAAGAGTTCTGATGATCTGCAATTTTATTTTTGTCTTTGTCCGAATAACTCCTATTATAAGGCCAAATTTTAGGGACTTGTCAGAGCATTCAGTTGGATACAAACTTTAAGGAGTCGATGACTCAACTCTTGAATCCTGATAATTAATCGAAATACTGCCTGTCCATATGTCAAACCTGGAGATTAAAAAATTTCATAAGTTTAAATATTTTAGCATTAATTTCATTTGGGTTGGTTTTTTATTAAATGAATTGAAATTAAAAGAAATCAAATTTTGTCTATTTCAAACTAATCTAGAAAGATCACTTCAAATGTTTCACTACAGGCCTATGACCAGTGTGGATAGTACTAGCACTGGCGTATATAGTGTATGAGATGGTATGGAACCATCAGTGCTATAGTCACACCACACTGGTCATTTGTCTGATGAAGGTGACTGTGTAGTCGTCAAAACTTCACACTAATCTTTTACTGGTTGTGTTGTAAGAACTTCTATTCTATTGACATTACCAACCTGAAGAAAATGTTTCAAAATATTTTGCTGTGTATTTTACCTGAGGTTAATAAACGCCCTGCCTGTACATGGTCGACATTCAGGCAATGTTTCATAAACTCTACAACAGTGCAAAAGTTACAAATCATGTACTGATGAAGATAAATATTTTTACTACTAACTTGCACATGTGTCAAGCAATTAAGTGCTTTAGATGAAATATTTCCACTTGTAAACAATTTTGCTTTTCAGCATATTTACAATGGCTGCCACAATACAGAATCTTTCTAGAATTCTCCTTGTTAACCTACCAAAAAGTAAACTATTGATGAGATTGATGAAAAATGAATTAATCCATTAACTTTTCTTTCAAATAGACATGATAAGTGATATGAACGAGGTGGCAAAGATGGATCCAGCTATGTCGGTAGAAGAACGTAACATGTTCTCGGTTGCCTACAAAAATGCTATTGGACCAAGAAGAGCAGCATGGAGAATACTATCAAGAATTGAAGGGAACGCAACGGATGAAAAAAATAGCAAGCAACGGATTAACGTTGTCGCTTACAAAAAAAAGGTTTGTAGAGAGATGTTTCGGTCATATTTGGTGTAACTTAGTCATGAAGAAACCTGTCATTGTCAGAATAATTTCTTTTCTTTCCCATTTTTTTTTAAAAGAAATTATAAACAATAATATTCCCTTATGAATTTAAGCTTAAAATATGTTAAGTAACATCAAGTGTGGAGATGCATCTTATTTTTCATGAGAAAAACTTGATTTTCCATCAAGGTAAACTATCCATCGTAATAGTTCAAGCTGAGGTGACCCTGACAGTACTGAGCATGTAGAAATATTTATATGCAAATTGTGTTATTGTGTATTCAGAAACATAAAATAATTCAAATAATAAACAATTACAATAAAATCAGGAATTGGAAAGACGGTAGATAATATTGCGAAAATTGTGCTTTAATACTAGGTCATGTATGAGATTTGGATTTAGTAGATAGCTAGATCATCATATGTATGCAACCATTGAAAACACCAGAATATATAAATAAAACATAGAAAACTGTGGCCTTATTTAGTATTTCAGTATGATTTGATTCTAAATTTGTATCCATCTGTATTTTGTAAAAGGCAAATGTGAATGTTTGTATTTTTTTCATTAAACAGGTTGAGGGGGAACTGAAACATATCTGCCATGAAGTGTTAGATATTTTAACAACAATCTTGGGAAAGGAAGATTCTAATGCTTCAGAATCCAAAGTGTTCTACTATAAAATGTAAGTACTCTTTTCACTAACCACTTTGAAAATGCTACAAAAAACATGTCTTTTTACAGAGAAGTTTATTTCACTTACAATTGTTGTACAATGTAGCATGCAAGAACAACCTTTACCACTGTGAACAGCATGGTTCATGTTGATGCAATAGCTTTCGCTATTGTTTGTATGTAGATATACATTAAAGTATTTGTCGTCTGTGTTGGATACAAAACTTTTCAAAAGCAAAAGCAGATCTTGTAGTTGTATTTTTATGTACAACTTTATATTTGGTTTTGAAACAATTGTATCTGGAAGGAAAATAAACAGATTTGTCTAAAGCCCCTCCTCAAACACATCTTATACAGTACACACTTAGGCCTATTGCTATTAAATGGCCAGACCCGACTTGCCACCATGTTTAATTCGCATATTTCATGTACAGGTGTATATATAATATTCATTAGATAATTTTGTACATCAAAAATATGTATAATGGTATAGAGATTGTGAAAATCAGACTGTTCACTCGGTGTTGAATTATCGATTTTTAATGTCTGTAGTGAGTATGTAGTAGCATTTAATAGATTATACATAATGGAAGATTCAATGTTGTCACACAGTGAAATATTCACACTGGAAGGTTTTAATTGGGGGAATAGTAAAATTTGAATATTGTTGCATGCAATATTATTTGATAGATAATAGTGTTATATTCTGTGATTGATAATGTGTAATTCCCCTCGAAGATTTGAAAAACAAAAGTAAAAGTGATTTTAAATGTTCAGGTGATGGTGGTGGGGGGAATTGCTTTGAATGAAGCTCTGTAGTAGCTTATGAATTTATCTGGAGACTGCAAAGTTATTCTGTGGTATTGTTGCAGACAGTCTGTTGGATAGTGTTGTTTGGATGCAATAAAGAGTTTTATCCTTTTTACTTTTAGAATTTATCTATATTGCAAATTAAATTGATTTTATTTCAGGCAAGTGACATTTTTAAATAAATAAAGCAACTGTATAGTTTTGATCTAGGGAGCAGTGGTCAAACTGCTTTGTTTTTTGCTGTACAACTGAACTGCTAAGTTTATACACATTAATTACTCATTAGCTATGTTTAAAAGAACACTGACAACCACATGCACAGACAAAGTAACACCCTTTGATTATGCAGGGGCTCAGGAAATTCACCCAAATTACAAATTGCAGACAAATTGACAGTGTATCACATGATGAGGCTCTAGAAAGGATCCTGAAGAATAACATTGCTTTACAGATTCTATCGGTTTCTTTGTTTTGTTGAATAAGATACAAGAGAACAACAACAAAATTTACAAAACTGATTATTCATTAGACTGGAACCAGTCAGTGGTACGAAAAAATATCCTTTTTGTTGCTAGTTTATTTTCTTTTTATACTTCATATTTGCACATGCCTGCATGTAGTTCTATGTATATTATCTTGTCTGCTACACAAAGTCTTATTTTGAAAGATAACAAAGATTAAAGATTATGGTTGAAACGGTCATTTTACCAATTTTCAAGCATCTGAAATAAATTTATTTTACTTCGTCTTATTGTGATCCAATGGGTCAGGATGACTGATGCTTATTGATTCATCTGTTATCATCTACCACATGTAACATCAACTTTTGTTTAAACATCTCCTTTTTGAAAGTAGAAGAACAGATTTGAGTGAAGTTTTGTCTGAAATATCCCTTAGAAAAGCATTTATTTTGAAAACCTAAAGGTGAGGAGACCCAAGATAAAAAGGGGACGTTTTCAGTGTTTCTTTAAAATGTGACTCCTGCTAAAGAGAGTGCAGATTGTTAAAAAAAAAGATTATTACCATTGTCTGAAGATATTTATTTAAACAAAGTTGATGCAACTTAGCGATGTAGAGTCAGTTGGAAGGCCTAGAATAGATTTGAACCAAATTTGGTTGAAAATCTCATTGAGGCAATGCAATTAAGGAACAGAGAAATACATTTTGAAGTACCCTTTAGCAGGGTAAGTGGCATCACATAAACTCGCCATATTGAAATTTTCTTCTTGACGGCAAAATATTCAGACAATGCCCAACCAAGAAATAAGAGAATCACATGATGCTATTATTACTTGCATTCTAATGCTTCAGGTTTTGGAGGTTTGGTTTAAAATCTATCATTTTGAACAGTATTAAGAACAAATACCATACTTGGTCTGAACATTTGGAGAAGATCAACATATAAATACAATTGAAATTTGTGTCACTATTGGAGCATCTGGATGGGAAGTAGATGGAAGAAAGTAAGACCCCTATTGAATATATTGCAGATCTAGTTCACGATATGACTATTAACAAATGTTTTTGCTACTAACTAAACATACTGCCACACTTTTAAATCACTGCTGACCAATATTGACCTTGTTATTTTACTACTTGACAACCTTTCAATATTTCATCCGCATTACCTTCACTGCTTGACCGCATCTTTCCAATATTGGCCACTACACTGTTTAACCAACGCACCACTTGATCTCTACGGACCAATGTACTGCCTAACTTAAGGTTCTACTAGATCACTACTGACCAATATTTATTGCTCTTCACTTTCTAACCCAGGTGTCGCTGGACAACTACTGAACAATATTATTGCTCATTACACTGCCTAAATGCACAACTGGACCCATTCTGACCAATATTGGCCACTGCACTGTCTAAGGTACCACTGCCACTGAGCCATAACTGATAAATATCATTAAGGTGCCACTGGACCACTAGTAATATTGCCCACTACACTTTCACATCAAGATACATTTGACCAGTGTTAACCACTATTCTGCCTAAATGCACTACTGGACCCTTATGGACCAAAAGAGCCCACAACACTGCCTAAAAAGGTGTTAATGGCCCACCTTGACCAAAATTGCTTACTACACTGACTAAAGAAAGTGTTACTGGACCCTTACTGACCAATGTTGACTGCTCTGTCTAACCAAAGTATTACCAGACCACTTGTAACCAATATTGGCCACTACACTGCCTGAAGATGGCACCACTGGACCTTTACTAACAAATTGATATTGACCAATACACTGTTACCTGTCCTGACATCTTAGGTCTCATGATCCTTTTTTGTGGTGCCTCAATTTCTTCTGAAACACTCCCCAACCGATTTTACAAAAATCTTCCTTGGCTAAAGACACACCAAAATTGTAAATCATATGGTCCACAACCCCAAGGGGTCTGGGAGTAAGGCCAAATTGATTGAAATTACAAAAATCTTCCTCTCAAAACCAGAAAAAAAAAATCAGATACTCATAATGGATGGAATTCTCTTAAAGTCTTAGTATGGGTCAGCAGTGAATGTTATGCACTTTGAACATTTGCAATATGTGTACAAAATGATCTTGCTATTTTTAATAAAATCATTTCCTGTTACATATTACAAGAAATATTGTAAGTCATATGACTCTTTAAGACCCTTCACCTCTTGTTAACTGAATAGTTCTTTTACCACTTCAAATGCTATTCTTTACATCATCTTGACCACCGATGGTAATTCATTGGCTGCTAATGACAAGGGTATGACCACTATTATCAGTTACATGTACTTGGACTATTACTGACATCCACTTTTTTGCCATCCTGGCAATGTTTTTCAAATCATAGGGATTGAGTAAAAAGTATATGGCATTTTCAAAGTGATGACTGCCAACAAAATGTTGTTGTTCCACCGATACTTAACATGTTCACTGCCTAAAAGCTTCGAAAGTGGATGATTGTCTAGACTCATTGAATTTCTTCTTAATATGTCATAAAATCAATTATGGTAACATAAAAAATGTGACCGTGTAATTGAAAACTAATATTGACAACAAACTCGCATTTACATTTTTAAATGATATCGTGAAAATATACGGATATTTAAGTCGTGCAACTGCAAAGCTGCAGAGGAGAAAGAGCCAGTTTGGATTACCAACATACGGAAGAATTTCTTTGAAAATACTTTGTTGATAAGGTAAGTTTATGATTAGTTTCACAATGATGTAATGAAGACTTTAATGGTTGAGCTTCTCCTGTTAGCAAAAGTTAAAATATGTATTGGGCTTGAGCATATAATTCTTTTCCAAATATTCTGTTCCAAATAAGTACATGTTCTGAATTTTAAAGAGTCTAGCTTTGCTAAGGGAAAAGCTTAGTCTTTACTGTCCAACTACATCATGGATCAGTGTGTGCCTGTAAGAATGCTTAAGACATGATGACAATGTTAATTTTGCTTCATACATTTCCTTTGGGATTTTAGTGATACAAAATTGTAGCTTACTGTATTTATCCAGCAATAAGCCTAAAGGGTCAAAATATTATTAAAATTCAGAGCTAGGGTTTATGACAGGACAATGAAGCTACATTGGTCCCAGATATTACTTTAAAGTAATTTATATTAGTGGGCTTATTACCTGATAAATACGATGTATATTTAGCAAATATGTTTGTGGTTCTAAAAATACTGTTGTATTGGTATGCTATTGTATTTTAACTATTGCATAATTAACAACAGTTGTGCACATACAGTTACCTGCTTCAGGATTTGCCTTGTTTCTGTGACATTTTGTTCATATATTACTGAAATATTTAGACAAAATGCTCAATTTAAAAAAAACTTTTTTCTCCAGTTTTTCTTTCAATGCAATAATACTTCATTACAATATGCTTCAGCATGCAAAGGAAATGCTAGGGAATTAATGAAAAAAAGACCAACTCCTGAAGGCAATGTAGTATACATGTATGCACTGGACAAGACCCATTCTGTAATTTTACAAATTTCTGATAAATCCAAATAACCACCTTTGTAGTTAGTTGGATATTATATAGCAAAATTTCTATATAAAGGCATACATTTTTTAAAGGAAACAAGTTGATATACTAGAGATGATAAAAAGCTGATAAAGCCACTGCTATTTACATGTCATTTTTGATAGTGTTGATGATCAACCCAACCCCCACCCCAACATTACATGTTCCTATACCTTCTGTATGCATTTGTTGAATACATTCTCATCAATAGAAAATCCATAACATTTTTAATGAGGTAATGAAAGGTGAAAATCTAAAACATAGTTCATTATCAGCTGTTTCCTGTGTG